TTTTTCGATTAATAAAAAATAAAAGTTGTTTTATTTTAAAAATTTGCAAAAAAAAAAAAAAAATTATTGTATTTTGTTATCATTAAAATATTATAATTTAAAATTTATTTTATTTTATAATTAAAAAAAAATATAATTTTTTTTTAAAAAAAAAAATCAATAAAAAATAAATGTTTATATATTCATAAAATAAAAAAAAATATTTTTTTGCAATATTTAAAAATAATAGTTAATATATAAAAAATAAATTATACAAAATACATTAATTTACAATTTAATTTTTTTTATAATAAACTCAGATATTATTTATTTGATTATTATAAGTAAATAAAAGAACAAAAATGATTTTATTATAAATATTTAAATATTATAAAAATTAAATTTTATTTCTTATGTAATTTATAATTTATATAATTTTTCTTATAAATATAATTAAAATTAAATTAATAATCTTTATATATTAAATACTAATTTTAATCTTAATTTATTTAAAAATATTTGATTTTCTTTATTTTTTTTTAATATATAGTCTATAATAAATATTATATAATATTTAAGTTTTTATTATTTATCATTTTTTTTTAAATCATTTATATAAATTGTTTTTAAAAAAGAACTAAATAAAAAGAAATTTTAAATGGAAATAACTTTAATTTTAATATATAAAATTTATCACAAAGAAGAAAGTTTCATCATTTCATAATTTATAGGTTAAATTTTATATTATATAAAATTTATTTTAAATTGCTTTTTTATACTTTTTTTGCAAATACATTTTTATAATTAAAAATTAAAAGGATTAAATGAATTTATAGGTAATAAAATAAATTTATATTTATTGTTTTTTCTTATACATTATTTAAATATAAATTAAAATAAAAAAAGAAATATATAGATTTATTATTATAATATTATTTTTAAAAAAATGTATCTTTAATTAACTAAAAATTTAAGATGTTAATTATTGATAAGAAAACATATTAAAAAATATAAATTATATAATGATATTTTATTTTATGTATTAGATAATGAATTATCGAAAATTAAATATTTAAAAATTGTTTAATATAAGAAATAATAAAGATTATTAGGAAAATAAAAATATTAAATTTTAAATTTAAGATTTGAATTAAAAATATTAATTTATAAAAATATTTATTTAATAAATAATATATTCAAAAAAAAATAAATAATAAATATAAAAGTATTTATAAAATATAAAAATAGTTAGACTGAATATAAAAAAAAAAATTAAATAAAATAAAAAAAATATTAATAATAAAAAAAAGAAGAAAAAAAATATTTGAAAATTATATATAAAAAAATAACATGTAAATAGTAATATATATATATATATATATATATATATCAACATATATATTTATTTATATATAAATATTTTCTTTTATTTTTTAAATTTTTTAATTACTATTTATTGCATTCATACTAAAAATAATATATATTTTTTATTCGAAAATTTATTTTAAAATGTTTATAATTTTATTAATAATATGATATAGCTTTTAATTTTAAATTATATTTAAAATTAGATAAATTATTTAAATATATACAAAATTATAAAAAAAAAAATATAAATCTTATAATATTATAAGATTTAGTTAAATAAAAATCAAATTTTTATTATATATTTTTTTAATTGATTTTAATATATATATAAATTTATATCTAATTAAAATTTATAATAATAAAATATATATATATATAGAATTTTTTTATTTAATTTATTTTAAAAATATTTTAAAGTATTTATAATATTATAAAATTTATAATATTATTTATTATTTATTTATATTAATAAAATATTTATAGAATAAAATAAATATTATTTTTCAAAATTCATAATCTATATCTTCTTCTTCCGGTAACTTTTCAGGTACTACAGGTCTAATATTTTCTTCTTCAAATTTGGTTTTCCATTCTATTTCATTAAAAGGTATAATTTCTTAAATATTTTCTTCTCCTTAAGAAGTTTACTAAGCCAAAGCATTAGCTTAAGCAATATTAATTGCTTCTTATAGTTTATTATTTAATTCATTATTCCAAACATCTAATTCTAATGTTTTTTTTTCTATTTCTTATATATTTTCAGCTATAATCTATCTCCTGATTTCAATATCTATTTTCCTAAGTCTACAAGTTTCCATAGCCCATTTAAAAAGTCTTCCTAATCCAATATTATAATTATAAACTTCCTATAAATTAAATTTTTCTAGTTTTGATTAAATTCTATTTATTAAAGCATAAATTTCAACAGGAAAACTTTTAGGCCCTTAATGTTAATAATTTAAAATTTTTTAAAAAAAGTCGTTTTCATTTATAAATTCTTTAGTCTTTTTCCAGTCTAAAATGTGTGTATTTTCTATATTAATAGATTCTCTTTTATAGCCTAATAAATAAAATATATTTTAGAGTATTTTTGGGAATTTTATAATTCTGAAGTTTTTAAGATAAAAAATGTGTTTTTTTAAATCTTCGTCTTCACATATTTATAATTTAAGTTTTTATAATTTTATATTATCAATTTAAAATTGGTAATTTTTTTCATTTCCTTCTTTCATTTCATCAATTTATTGCTTTGTTTCTTCTTCTATATATGCTTCTTATGTATCGTATTTCTCTATTAGGTCAATAGGAAGTTCTTATAAGTATTTTATCTACAAATCGACATCTTTTAAGAGGATCTTTCTTTCCATTTCTTCCCAACTATTGGCAAATAAGATAACATAATCTTCCAAATAAGTTATTTCTTCCTATTTTAAAGGCCTATCTTAACCCATGGTATCCGCACAAAGTACGTATTCTTTAAGTTCGAACAAAGGTTCAGGATCTTAAGGCGGTTAAGAATATTCGTTTAGGAAATTCTGAAGTTCAATTTCTTTTTCATTGGCTAATTAAGGTTATTCTTTTAGTTTTTCGATTTCTTAAAGAATTTCTTTTTCTTTGGTTTTTTTTTCTGTTTCCCATTTTTCTAGAGACTATAAATATAATTATTTTTTAAGAAGTAAATCATTAAAAAATTCTTCTTTCAAATATGAGAAAAATATTAAAGGGAAAGCTATAAAAGAACCGAGCTTTGGTAATTTAAAATATTGCATTTTTAACTCTTTATCTAGTTCAGGTATATAAACATAATTTTATTATTATTATTAATTTTGATTTTATTAATTTTATTCGTCATCTGGATTATTTATTTATTTTTCTCTAAAAACACCAGCAGTAATACTTTCTTCTGGTTTTGAGGAAATAGTTTTATTTTACATTAATAATTAATGTGATTAAGAAAATCCTATATATTTTATTAATTTTTCTTTTTTTAAGTCTAAATGCGATTTTTCGTCTTCATCTTCATCATTTATCATTTTATTTGGGTAATCTTTAATTCCAATGTAAACACCAGTTAAGTTTTTTTATTTTTCAAGAAAATCAGGAAATATTTATGTCAATAATTCAATATGATATTCCTCTTAGATAATTTTTTCTTTAAATTGATTTTCAATGTTTTCTTTTTCTATATTTTATTTAAAATAATTTCTTATTCTAAAATATTTTGCTATTTTTTTTATTCGTTTTAAATTCTCAGATCTTTATTTTTTTAAATACTTTATTTAAATTTCTCCTCGTTTTCATTCTAAACACAGTTATTAAGAAGCCATTTAGCAAAAAAGTCTATAGGATATTGAGGTTAAACTTCGTATAAGACAGATAGGCCTTTTTATAAAGTTTAAGCAATCTCTTTTTATTTTAAATATTCGATATCTAGTTAATCTTTGTGAGAAAGACTCATAGCTTATAATTTATAAATATTTATATAACAGTTATTTTTTAATATAATAATATTTATTTATTAAATAATAAATATATAGCAGATATATATAATATAAATTATAAAGGATATGAAAAAAATAATTAACTTATTAAATTTGATATAATTTAAAAAATTAAATAAAATGTAAACAAAAAAAGTTGCAACACATTCAGGCTGTTTCCATTGTGATGAAGTTTTAGCTTGTACAATGCTAACTCGTTATACAAATGAATTTAAAAACTGTTCTATTACAAGAACTAGGGATTAAAAAATAATTGATGAGCATGATATTGTAGTAGATGTAAATGAAAATATATAATATATAATATATAATATATAATATATAATATATAATATATAATATATAATATATTATATTATTAAGGTTGGTGGTTTATATGATCCCTCAAAACATAGATATGATCATCATTAAAATTCTTTTACTGATACATTTAGTGAAGAATTTTAGATAAGATTAAGTAGTGCTGGTTTAATATATAAGCATTTCGGAATGGAAATTGTTAAAAATATTTGTGATAAAATTTTAGAATAAAATAAATAATATTTACAAACTGAAATTTAATTAAACGAAACTATATTATAAGAAATCTATTACAGAATTTATAAAGGATTTATTATGTCTGTAGATGCTATTGATAATGGTATTGATTAATACCCTAAAGATATAAAGCCTTTATATTATAATAAAACATCACTATGGTCAAGAATATCTCGCTTACAACCACATTGGACAGAAAAGTATATTGAAGACGATATTTAAAGATTTAATAAAGCCATGGATATGGCTGATGAAGAGCTTTTTTCATAAGTAAAAGTATTACTTTTGAGTACAATTCCAGCGAGAGAATGTGTCAAATAAGCAATTAATGGAAGATTTAACATACATTAAAGTGGATAAATTATAGCATTCGAAACTCCATTGCCTTGGAAAGATCATTTGGAGGATTTTGAAAATGAAATGGATATAAAAGGAGTAATTAAGTTTGTACTTTTTCCTGAAAGCGAAGAAAAAAAAGCCTGGAGGGTATAAGGAGTGCCAGTTAATTAAGGAAGCTTTGATTTAAGAATTGGGTTGAAAAAAGAATGGAGAGGAATTAAAGACATGGATATTTTAAAAAATGTAACAGGTATTTAAGATATTGTATTTGTTCATAATAGTGGATTTATTGGAGGTGCGAAAAGTTTTTAAAGTACTTTAAAGATGGCTTTGGAAAGTATTGAAAACATATAATGAAATTTATATTTTTATGTTTTTTATTTGATTAATAATTAAAAATAAATAATTTCATAGAACAAAAGATTTATTTATGATAATAGATATAATTTAATAATATATAAATAAATATATATATATATATATATATATATATATATATATATATATATATATTTTCAAATAAATTTATGTTTACTAAAATTTTATTAAATATGATAAAATACTTATAATAAATTACTTTTTTATATAAAAATTTATATACTTAATTACATTAATTTTAATAAATTTTGTATTTATTTTTTTATATTATATTTATAGCATTCAATATTTATTTTATGTTATATTTTTTTTTTTTTATTTACAAATATATTAAAAAATAATTTATTAAACGCATTATATTAATAAATAAATAAAATATTTAGTCTGATTTTCAGTATGTTTATCAAAAATCACTTTTTTTTTAGTGACTAAAATAGTAAGCTTAATCTTTATATTTTTCGAATTTAATTTAAAAAAATAATTATATAAAACTTTTTAAAAGAATACAAATATTTTACTTTATTATTAAACATAAAAATAATAAATTTGCAATAGAATTATATAAAATTTTTAAAAGTAAGGAGAATTAAAATTAGATATAATTAATTTTTTATTTATATACTTTTTTTAATTATTTATTATTTTAAAATATTATTTCATGTTACTTAAAAATATTATTAGATATATTTAAGGGTATTTTTCCTCTTTTTTTGAATTTTTATGTAAACTTCTAATTAATAATAATTTAATATTGTATATATTTATTAGGATAACTTTTAATTTTTAAAATTTTTTTATTAGTATTAGTATTTTTAATACTTAAAAAAAGTCAACTGTAAAAT